TTTTGGCAGATGATCCAGAAGTGGTTTTCCATTGCCTTCTTCTGTGTGTGGATGGAGTAATTGTTGGGATGCCACGGAGGAAAACTCCGTGTTGCCTAGACCACGGCCTTGCCCAACACAAGTTATAAATTCGGGCACCGCCGGGAATCGAACCCGAGACCCCCCAGAATTACAAGGCCAGCGTTCTAACCGCTAGACCACCTCATCTTATTATTATTTAGTGTTCTGTCTGACGACAGGTCCATATGAACTGGATCCTTCCATCCTTTTCTCGGACTGGGACCTGTTCATATACGTTCTTGGCAGATGATCCAGAAGTCGTTTGCCATTGCCTTCTTCTGTGTGTGTGTGATTGGAGTAATTGTTGGGATGCCACGGAGGAAAGCTCCGTGTTGCCTAGACCACGGCCTTACCCAACACAAGTTATAAATTCGAACCCAAGACCCCATGATTACGAGGCCAGCGTTCTAACCGCTAGACCACTGTGGCTTTAATGTGGCGTAGTGATGTAAATTGTTAGTTATTACATAGGTCTGTTACAACGACACATTAGAAGTATGCAATACAGTACATGGAAAGAAACACTAATTACTCTGAATGCCGTATAGCATTTTTGCGTGAATGAAACAAAGTACGTAATTTCTTACCTCCAACTTGTACGAGTTGACCAATGACGAAATTTCCATACGCCAAAATCAGAGCCGTGCAAAGAGAGGCCAGGTTCTTCCCAGATATGTTCCGGTGCACGGCATTTGTGGCGAAGGCCACGAGATGAAGAATAAGAAACCCCACGGAGACCCCAAGCCCCAGAAGTGTGATGTATCTGACGATGCTAGAGAACTTTTCTTCCGTAACCTGATACTGGGCACACAATTCAATTCGACTATCATCCAATATTTTAAATTCTCCATTGCTGTATAATTTATTAGATAATAAATCCGTCACTGTAAAATTGTCATTTAGAAAATATTCTTCAGGTGTCAAAACGAACCTTGAACAATTCAGTACTTCGCACTCTGAGATGTTTCCATAGCAATTGCCTAATTCATAATTACCTTCCTGTCCTGCAATTGATAAGATTATATGACGACATTTCTTTGCAGTTGGATCATACGCCTCGTTCTGATTTGGGCAAATTCTTTTTTTACCGACCTCATCACTAGACCTGTCTGAGAAATCAAATAATATTGGAAAGGTATATTCAACTTCTAAACCTTCCTTCACACATCCCATGAGTTTGTTAGAAACTCCGTTGCAAGATGCACAATGCGGGTTTCGATATGGTTTGTTTCTTAGTCGAAAAGTCAATGACGTGTAGGTCTCACATTGTTTCCTAAATGTTTCATTCTGCCACGAGAGAGGACAAGTTACAATGACTTTCTGATGGCATCTCCTAAGTAAGTTAAACGGTCTCCAAACATAAAGTTTGCAAGTATGGTAGCTTGCATTTGAAAATTTTGCTCTGAACTTAAAATCTTCTCCGTAGGTTGACTCCTTAATGACTCTATCGATATCTGGCACCGGGAGAGAAAGATTTGTATCGCACGTCACTGCAAGTTTCCATCGTATCATGGTGCTCAGATGAAGATCACCATTGCATCTTGCGCAGTGGTAGTTCAGGTACGTTATATTTGTAGCATTGCTGGTAACGGGAAGTCCCAGTATCGGTTCACGTCGTATTGTTTCTATGTAGTTCTCGCATCTGTGACGCGTCTCTTCGTGTATCCACGACGAGGGACAGGACGTGATCATGTAATAATTATCCTTGTAGTCATCCGCCGTGTTCCAGTCTCCTGCCGTAACGCAGGCTGACAACGATGATGGTCTGAAGTGTGGCGAATCTTGACAGCAGTCGCCGAAGGTAGAGCACTGAGCGTCGCATTGACAATTTCGGATCATTGAAAACGTAGCGCTGGAGTTTCCTCTACAGGAAATATTTTCCCAGCACCTGGAAGGAGGGAAAAAGAAATTAGCTTCAAACGAGTGTGACCTGGTCAGGCATCCTTAAAAATAATTTCGTTTCTGTTTATCGGGTCATATTTAAGCTATTTCCGTGGTTTCAATAGTTAAACCACAGTTCTGTAAGAGAAAAAATAGGTTTGCTTTCGTTTAATACAAAATGACACCTCAACCGATTCTGTAAGCATTCTGAATAAATTTCTATACACTTTGAAAGTTTTAAAGTCCTTTTAGAATCACCCTGTATAATAATTATAAATATGACGCGGTGTATTGATTCACGAATTATTTAACGATTCTGTAAAATAAACTATTTCAGACTGGGCATCTTAGACAAAACATGACATGACGTAGGTGTAGTGAATTAATTATTGTTAACACATGGTAAATTAGGAATGTAGAGATTTGAAGTTACATAGGATTAAGTATAGTAGGCATTTGAATTTGATAAAATTTAGGAATGTGTTGATGTCAAGCAAGGCGATGACTCCAATTATAGTACGGGTAGATTATTAAATCTTCAAAATTTAAGTAACCAGAGTGTTATTGAGATAAAGTGAACTAGCCTGAATTAGGAAGGTAATGTTTAATATAAATGTAAAATTTTTGTAGTACTTAGTGTTAGAAATAAATTGTGTATAGGCCTGGGGAATAATCTGTAGCTTCATGGAAGTATTTCCATATCAGCTGAGTATGTTTAAGCTGACGACGGCATCCATGTGAACTTGCCTTGCTCCATTCCAAGCCACGCTACCAACATTAGTAGGACTGAATCTATCCACAAATCACACCATTACATGGGTTTACAAACGAATATATAGCTGAGAAACACGATGTAAAATTCCAATGAAAACGGTGCTTCTGAAAAGTTTGCACATTTTTATTGTTCAACGTTTTGTTGTGGACTGAAAATTAACTTTCTAAATGTCCTACATTCGAATTCATGAATTTCGTAGGAAGAAAATTCATATTTGAGAATCACATTTAATGTAACTACAGCTGAATCATTGCTCACCCTTCGGATACGCCATCAAAGTAACTGTGCGCATACAACGCGCTGGAACACCAGATGAAGGAACTTATGCTGGAAAACAAAATGATAAGTAACATTGTCTTGACACGAAGGTGATGAATTCCACCGGAAGTTTCTTTCGCCAGCAAGCGAGGAACCCACACCTGCAACAAAAGCAGAACGTTGGCCGATAAGTGAGTGTTTCCTACGCAGAAGATAACAAACTATATGCGCCTGTATCGAATATTTCGAAAGAACTTATTATAGATACTAGCGGATATTCACTAGCCCTTCTAATATAGCTAACTAACTAGATGACTTACGGAACACAAAGGTTCATCACCGAACTAACCAAAGCCCTCCACCGGACCCTGTCCTGGGCCAACAAAATCCAGTCTCCTTCAACTCCTATCTCCCATAGATCCCGCCTGAGATTATCCTCCCA